TTAAAACTTTCCACTGCTGGATTTCCATACTTGCTTTTTTTCCTCAGTATTCAAGTGGCAATTCCCTGACACTCTGAAATTTTAACACTGTGTTCAAATCGGTTACCTTAAACGTACTTCAAAGTAGTATTCAAGTGGATAATTCCCCCTAGAATTGTACCAGCTGTATAGGAATACGGTCAAAATCAAACTCTTCATCAGCAACTGGAGTCTTTGGCTCGACTTCTAAATGAAAATCAAAGCAATCACGCACTGTGGGGTTTTCTCTTTGCACATATGGAATCATGTGATTTTCCACATGGACTCTGTTGTGAGGCTATCGAGAGGGTGAAACAGTAGGGATTGTGGAACCGGCAGATCTGCTGCCCTAAAGCTCAGGGACAGATCCTTGCATCTCTCCTTTGAGCATCCCAATGAAGACTCCTCACAAAATTCACTGTCAGAAAACTTCTTAATGGCAAAGTATCTGAAAAACAACTTGGTATTTTCATTCCTGACCATAGGGTTATATTTGTGAGGTAGGGTAGTGATTAAGAACTTGGGTTAGGTCAAATATATATATATAACTTGGGAAGAATTTACCATGAAATTGACTTAACGGCAAAATTAACATTCTCCATCTGTTAAGAGAAAAACATAAGACTGCTTTGACAAACCTTTTGCTCTTAGAGAAATACACATTTCAAGAATATGTTATTTTTCAATTGCCTTAGGGATAGGTAGCTGATGACAGGGGTAAGAGGAAGACTTTTGACCATATATTCATATGCACTTTCCAGATTGAGGCATATAAATATATTACACATTCAAAAAAGTAAATACAATTTTATAAAGGAAAAAAAAAAAAACCCTAACGATGCATTTGCTATTAGGAAATAAAATGAAAATGTCCTAGATGATAAAAGATGGAAAAGAGGATTGGGACCAAGAGGTTAGTCACCTAGTTAGTTAATATACCACCCTCTCTAGCTCCCAAAATATTTGTTAATTCAAACGGATAATTGTTTTATTTTTGTTTATTTTTGTTTTGAGGGTGAGGGAGTGGTAATCTACTCTCAAAAAAAAAGACGGTCCTCTCCAGCAAGACCTTTATTCTCCGCTGCTCAAATCCCATTAACACTAATCAGCACAATGATTAAGCACATTGTGGTTAAGTACTCTAGTTGATAACGACTCCTTTGGAAAAAAGGTTCCCATAGCTACAGGTAAAGGCTATCATCAAACTCAGCTTTTCAGAACAAGACTTGGTGTCACAGATCGGAGAGTTAAGATTGTTTTAGTATTAATCCGGAGGCTTGCTTTTTTAACTTCACTTGACTTCATCCATTTAAAAGACACTTCGGAGAGTCCCTGCATACACCGGGCACAGTACCAGCATCGGGGGGAGGGGGGGGTCCTGGAGAGGTAGGAAAAAGACCTCAAAGATAAGATATGGCTCCCGCCCCAAGAACTGCAATCTGCTGAGGAAAGCAGCCACCAAAAGAACTAATGACATTATGATGGTAATTACGCCCCTTAACTCTATAACCAAGCCTTGTCCTCATCACTAGGAATGGTCAGTTTCTAGACTAGTTTCACTTTCCCATCTTCAAGCTGCAGCACAGCTGGGTTTCCAGCTGGCTGGGGAAGAAAAGATTCTTTAAATAAACAGCATTTTAAAAATATGCAGTCGCTTTTGCTATGCTGAATTTTGTGAACCACCTTCCTCTAATATGTGAATCTGGTTGTCATATTAATTAAAAACTATCCTAAAGGATGTAAAATCTCCCCCCCCAACCCACTCCAGAGATACACCTTTTCCATCTTTACAACAAAGACCACTATACGTTGGAAGAAAACTGCATATCAGAAAGTCCCAAAGGAAGAATGATTTTTTTTTATGCTATTTGCTCTATGTAACAAGGAAACAGCTTAAAACCATATATATAGGAAAGCAACAAGATAGGGTGTGATTATACCAAAATATATGCAACCATCATTAAAAATGCAGGACTATTTGCAGAACAGGATGCTTTTATAGCATTGTACAGAGTTGCTAATCCCTAAGACTCCTTTCTCTTTTTCCTCTCCTTTCCACAGAAGGCACAGAAAACACCTCCCTGTATGCAAGCTTCTTAGAAATGCAAAGATTTTACTCAACTCTTTACCACCAGAGGTAGTAATTTTGGATGAATGATACACATGAGATCTATAAAAATACCCCTCAGATATTCAGCCAGAATTCACAGGCTTCAAATCAATATTTTACAGTTGCAGTGAAATTAGCCATTCATGAGGGCCTTCTAGAAAGGGTCCAGTAGGACCCCTCACTGATGCTACTGAGGCATGTGCTAGCTTTTAATCTCAATATCCCTCCATATGATACATTGTCCCAAAACCCTAACCCACGCTAACACACCTTTCTAGATGATCTCCCTAGGAACCACCACTCTCTGAATCCAGACACATTGGGAGCTGAAACTGGCTAAACAAAGTAACAATTGAACCACAATTGCTCAATGTAACGGGCATGATGACAGTTTCTGAGTGCCAGTTTCCCTATTTTGCAATGGGTAAATCTGCTCCAAGGAGAAAATGTTCCCAATGACCCCGTGGCCCAGAGGGCTTTCTTTAGAGATAGAAAACAGAAAATGAATTTGTTAGTTATTTCCTGCTGAGCACAAGGAAGGTGTTGTGGTTAGTTAGGACGATTTTGTTTCCTGATTTAATATACCATCACCACTACATGTTTTCCTTAACCCCATAGTAGAAAATAAGAAAATGCAGTTTATGCTCTTCTGGCATATAATCACCAGTTCCACAAGTTTCCTCTCACAAATACGTCCTTTAATTTCGAATCCCCTTATATAAAGTACCCCCCCCCAAACTGACAGAGATCTAGATGCTATCAACTCAAAGCCAAATTGCATTCTGAAGTGTTTACTTCCATACTTGTTCCTGCTTCTTGACATTTTGCAGTATGTGAGGGCCTTCTCTTTAGCTGGGATTGTGGCACTCTCTGAGAACTGGACCCACACATGTTACTTCAATAAAATGAAGTGATCGTAACCTGAAAGCAGACAATAGTTCTGACCTCCACATCTCTCATGATCTCCACATTCAACTATTCAACTCCTAAACTCTCACCAAAACAAACAAGGTTTGTTTTGTGAAGGAGGGAAGTGGGAAAGTAGAAGGAGGAAGACAGGGGATTATCTGACAAAGACCATTGGGTCTCAGTGGACCAGACTAGGGATTATGTGGTGATGTGCACTGTGCATATTCAGGAGCAGCTCACCGAAAAGCAAAACAGAAGCTGTCCTTGGACAAGGTTCAATAAATGTTTTTACTATCTATTTCCCACAGCACAATACACAGTTCCACAGCTCCCCACGGGATCTCAGATAAAATACTTAACAGAATAAAAAATTAGAAATTCTTAACTGGTCTCGACTTGTCATCATAAAACAGTGAAGAGCATAAAACCAACATTAAAGAGCAGTCAATAATATTCCTCAGAACAATGTCAGAGAGATAAATCACCGTTACCACCAAAGTTTTTCCCTCCTCATTAAGATACCTCAAGATTCTTCTGATTAAAGTGGCCACGGTTTAACATAATGCCTGGATACACTACCACTGCTAAATTAAAACTTGTTTCTTGAAAGACAGGGGTGGGGGAGGGGCAAAGAGGAGGAAAGTTTCCAAACGTCAAAGGCATTGATCTAAAAAGGTGAGGGCAGCAAAACTTCCTATGAGCTGTTCCACATTCTTTGCTTCCCAAAGCCTATCTAGAACCGATTGGTAAACTGGTAAACATGCCAACTTCAGTGACGTCCAGGGCATCTATCGTAATTCAGTCATTACCCAGCCCAGAGTCACACAGCAAGCACCACATTCAGCCTTAGCCGGGACAAAAGGAAAGAAACCCCAACAGGAATAAGCACAAGACCAGCCAGCACCAAATACTCCAGTATGGGGACGACTGGGTTTGAAATATCTCACTGAGAAGTAAGTCCTGGGTTCAGGGAGGAGAAACAAAAGCTCTCAAACTGGTATTTCTTTTACTCTGGCCGTGGGAGACCTCCACTCCCTGCTACAGAGATCTACAGACTTCAGTGTTGATCACCTGCATTCCTGTGCAGCGCCCAACATCATGAAGAGGAGAGATGCAGTCAACACATTCTGCCAGTAAGATGTCAGAGCCTGAACTTAAACGGCATTCAGCAGAAGTAAGTTACTCTATTTCATTGTCATCACAACCAACAGACCTAGTCAAATCTCCCAGAGACGGCCAAAAGAGGTGTCTGGTCTGCTCCCCGGTTCCTGGAGGGTAAGAGAAGGCTGGGCTAACCCGCTTAGCAGAGACAGGCAATCGCAATGGAGAAAACACCCCGCGCCACATGGAGGACAGAAAACAGTAGCAGAAAAAAGTCCAACTCTGCCTGCGCCAGCGGTGTGGATGAGCAGAACCCGGAGCCCAGGAGAGGAAGGAGGGGGCGGGGGGCCATCATTCCCTGGGCGAACTTGTCAGCGGAGGCCTTCACCACCTGGGAGTCTGCCCAGCTGCTCCTGCAGACCCCGGCCAGCCTGCGCGAGGCAGGCCCCTCGGAGCAGAGCGCGCAAGGCCTCCGAGTGTCCCTCCTGACTCACCGAGCCTCGGGCCAGCACCACCCGGACTTCTCCGTTTTTCCTGCCGCTCCTGGGCTATGATGGCAGCTTTCCAGCTCCACATGCCATACATCAGCCGCAGATCGCTGCTGGCACAGGCCAGCGCCTTCCCCCGCCCCCCACCCCTGGCACACTTTGAGCCTGATCCTCCTTCTCCCCAACCCCAACCCCCTCACCCACCCGTGCCAGGTGCCCTGCCCAGGGGCGGCCCCACCCCCCAGCCCCCTCCCCCCTCCCCCGCAGCCGGGCGCTGCCAGGCCTGGGCACCTGCAGCACCTCTCCGCCCTACCCCCATTCTCCACCACCTCGCCCCTCCCCCCTTCCTCTAGCAGAGGGAGGGGGCGACTCACCGCAGTCAGTGCACAGGATCTTGCCCACCTCTTTCTTGAGGTTTTTGCCGTTGGTGTCGATGGGGGCAAAGGCCGTCTTAAAGACCAAGGGCTGCTCCGTGGGCTCCAGGAAAAAGATGTAGCGCTGGTTCCTTTCGAGCGGCGCACAGGAGCCCACGCTGATCACCTGCTCGCGCTGCAGCCCCCCGCTCCGGAGCGGCCACTTGTCCAGCACCTTCACCAGCGCCACCCGGCCCGAGGCGGGCGGCTCGCGGGTGCTGTTGGAGCTGGAGCCGCCGGCTGGGGCCAGCCCCTGTACCTTGCCCTCCACCACCACCGGTGCCTTGTACGCCTGGTCCTGCACCGACCTGAGGCTAGGCGAGTAGCAGGCGAGCGACACACCGAAGAGCAGCATGGAGAAGCCGGGGGCCGGGTCGCGCCTCATGCCGCCGGCGGCTGCGGCTCGAGAGCGGGCGGCGGCTCTCCGGGCTGCGGGGCTGCGGGGCTGCGGCTGCTGCGGCGGCCGCGGCTCTGGGGGCGCAGCGGGACGGGAGATGCTGCCGCCGCTGCTGCCGCCGCTGCTGCCGCTGCTGCTCCTGCTGCCGCTGCTGCCGCTGCTGCCGCTGCTGCTCCTCTCGCTGCTGCCGCCGGGGCTGCTGCTGTCGCTGTAGCTGCTGCACCGAGCCTTCTCCAGTGGCGGCGGCGGCAGCGCTGAGCAGCAAACCTGCCGCATCTGGCCAGGCCATTTGGGGGGCTCCGCCGCTCCGCCGCCGCCGCCTTGGGAGGGGAAACAGAGCCCGCTAGAAAACCGGAAACAGCGTAACGTTAGCGCCTCGGAGCCCTCCACCGGCAGCCGGGGGAGGCGGCCCAGCGAGGGCAGGGGGCAGGCGGCAAGCGGGCCGCGATGCGCAGCGCGGCGCGGCGCTCCCACCCTGCGCGCCGGGACCTGGAGGAGGCTGCGGAGAATAGGACGCCCGCCCACTTGCTCTCTCGCGCCCCCTCAACCCCAGGACCGAGCGAGGAGCGCGGCTTCTGCAGGGGAAGCTCGGGACTGCACTGCTTTAGCGCCGGGTTTCGCGGCCCGCAGGGGCGCGGGAGGAATCGTGCTACCTTTGCTCGTCCGATTTATGGGCAGGACAGCGGGACGGTGCGGGAGGAGAGGGCGGAGTAGAGAAAAGGGATTCTGGCACCGTCCTATGAACGTGGGAGTGGGTCACAGGGCGGGCCCCTGCCTCCGGCCGTGGGCTGCAGCCGCCAGGGAGAGTACCACGCTCGGTGTGGCGGGCCAGCCTTCCGCCTCCTAGGTTGTCCCCTTCCCCGGGAGGACCCTAGAGGCCGGCCCCTAATGGAGCCCACGTGTTCGGCTCTGCCACCGCCTAGTGAGCTCTAGGGATTCGAGTTGAGGTGGGGAAGGGTTCCAGTCGGTCCCGTCATTTTGGAAAGAGTTAGGGCTACGTGCAGTCTTGTCTCGGCATTGAGGACATCTAACTAAGGGTGGTGGCTGGGAGAGGGTCCAGTCCCCAAGACTCTAGGCTTTCTGCAGCGGCCAGGCTGGACCAGGCTACACGCTGTACGACCTCATCTTCCTTTAAAAAAGCTGTTCCCTAAGGGAAGTGGGGGCTTCTTGGGAGCCAACTCAAGATCCAGAGCCTGTCAGGGCCAGAGGCTGCTCCATAGGAAATGGTTTCTCTTTTAAAAGTCTGGAGAGTTTGATCCACTGGAGCCAACGTCTGAGTTTAAAAAGGAAATCCACGATCCGTTCGCCTCCTATCGATAAGGATCTAGGGCGTTTTCAATTACCAGCTTACATCCTTGAAGGATATGGAACTCAGGAATTCCACTCAGGTCTTGGAGAATTTTATCCCTGCCTGGGCCTCGCAGGAAATGGGCCCAGGGATGTCTGGCTCAGGCTTGGACTGCTATTCTGGAAAGGAAGGACACAGCTAGACCTTGCCTGCTGGCTGTCTAAGAGCCACCTCAAACTTAACATATCCAAAGCCAACAGCATTATTTCTCCCACCCCACTCCAAATTCCCTATAATTGTTAATGGCAGCATTTTATACTTGGCCTCCTGATCCATTCCAATAAGTCCCTTAGTCTCTTCTTATTCTCCCTCATCTAGTCAATCACCAAGTCCTTCTGCTCTACCTTTTAAGAAAATCTCCAATGTATCCAGCTCCTCTCCAACCCTGCTGTGAAGGAACCCTGCCTTAGGTCCGAGTGCTCATCATCTCTCACCTGGACTACTGCAAAGCCTCCTAACTAGTTTCCCCACTGTTTGCCTCATCAGCCTCCTCCAGTCCCACCCCTGTCAGAGTCATCCTTCAAAAAATAAAATGTAAATATCAGTTGGCCATGCCACTGCTCTCAGGAGTCAAGTCCAAACTCTTCAGCCTGACTCCTCCTGGGCTCCCTCTACCTAACCAGCTCTGTACTGTGGGAGCCAGCCCCCTACCCTAGGAATCCAGCACAATCTTGCTGTGCTTCTGCCTACAACGTCTCTGGTGTCCAGAAGCCTCACCTCAGCCTTGTCCATCTGGAAGGGTCCTCTTTCCCCAAGGCCCAGCTCAGCATTATACCTCATCCCTCCCTTCCTTACACCCACCTTCCTTACACCCACCTTCCTTACACCTCCCTTCCTTACACCCACCTTCCTTACACCTCCCTTCCTTACACCCACCTCCATCCCGAGCACCATACAAAGGAATCAATTCCTTCCTCTTCCGTGTAACCACGTGCCTCGTACATATTCCTATTACGGCACTGACCTATACTAAAAGCAGCTGTTAGTGGGTCTGCGTTAGACCCATCGGACCAGGCACCTTACCGGCAGGGACTATGTCCTATTGGTCTTTGGAGCCCTATCCAAAGGGACGTCCAACACAGTGCCTGGCATAGAATAAAGAGCAGCAAATCTTCCATGAGGAAAGGAGGGAAGGAAGAAAAGAATCGAAAGTCATCTCTCTTAAAGGCATCGGGCCAAACTTGTTGGCCCCTTCAATGTCCCCCTTTACGTTTTCATAGATCACGATCTCCTACATCACAGAACACCACTATGAGGAATATTGCTAACTTTACCCTCCCATTTTCCCATGGAACAAACAGTCCTAGGGAGGAAAAGGGACTTACTCAAGATCACACATGGCCAGGACTGTATTCAGTCTTCCATTTCTTTTTTTTTTTTTTTTAAGATTTTATTTATTTATTTGACAGAGAGAGACAGAGCGGCAGAGAGAACACAAGCAGAGGTGGGGGGCGGGGGGAGAAGCAGGCTTCCCGCTGAGCAGGGAACCCTATGTGGGGCAAAAATATGGAACGCTTCATGAATTTGCATGTCATCCTTGCGCAGGGGCCATGCTAATCTTCTCTGTATCGTTCCAATTTTAGTATATGTGCTGCCGAAGCGAGCACCAGTCTTCCATTTCTGACAACAGAGTAGTGGTAAAGAGCTTGTTCTCTGGGGTCAAGCAGAGCTGGGTTTCTTTTCTTTTTTTTTTTTTTTTTTAAGATTTTATTTATTTATTTGACAGAGAGAGACACAGTGAGAGAGGGAACACAAGCAGGGGGAGTGGGAGAGGGAGAAGCAGGCTTCCCGCTGAGCAGGGAGCCTGATGTGGGGCTCAATCCCAGGACCCCAGGATCATGACTTGAGCCGAAGGCAGACGCTTAACGACTGAGCCACCCAGGCACCCGCAGAGCTGGGTTTCAAACCAATTTTGTAATTTACCACCTTTGGAATGAGCCTGTTTTTCTCCCTAGGCCTTGGTTTCCTCATTTGTTTACAGAGAAATAATAGGGTCTACCCCATAAAGTTGGTTTTTGCTCATGATATACTTAATAAATACCCAATGAATAGCTCCTCTGTGCCAAGCACTGAGACACAGTACTGACCGCTGGATATACTGCAGGGAGCCGAACTGATTCTGTCCTTGCTCGTAAGACACGTACTGTTGGGAAGACAACAGTAAACAAGCACACAAATAGGTAACTAATTACATATGATTCATCTCCTGAAGGAAATAAACAGGATTAAATGCTAGGGAATAATGGAAAGGGGAAAGGGCAGGTATAGTTGGATCATAGAGAGCTTCTCTAAGGAGATAACATTTAAGCTGAGACGAGAAGGATTTGAAGGATTATGTGAGATAACAAGTGTAAAGTGCTTAGAACAATGCCTGGTACAGAGTAGGGGCCAAAATTAATGTTGAATATCATTGATAACTTACTTATACCGGTGGTTCCCAATCTCAGAGCTGAGAATCTCTAGGTGGTGTGTAGTTGATGTACTCTTGGACTTTCTGTATATTGATAAAGACAATCTAACTTTTCAATAGTAGATGCCACTGTGAGGAATAAAAATACACATTCTTCTTTTTTTCCACATTTCCCATTTAAAGTATAACAAGACATTGTTAAGTATGAAGAACAGTGGAAAGATGTGTTATCATTTTGACTTTTTTTAGAGGATAAATATGAAAGTATTTGTAAAATATAGATTACCTTTGAAAGACACAGCAGAAATCGAAACAACTGGCTCTGGAAAGGACACTGAGTGACAGGAGTAGAGTGCAAGTACTATTCCCTTCGGTACCTTGTAAATTTTCTATCAGGCTCATACTACCTACTTTCTATCAGGCTCATACTACCTACTCGAAAAAAATGTTTGAGAGGATCCTCTAACTTTTCACCATTGCTAAATTTTTTCACGTATGTTCTCAATCAAAAGCTACTTAAAACAGAACTGTTATTTTATGGGATTCCTTGAAATTATTTTTGCCTTAAAATGAGATTCTCGGGCGCCTGGGTGGCTCAGTCGTTAAGCGTCTGCCTTCGGCTCAGGTCATGATCCTGGGGTCCCGGGATCGAGTCCCACATCGGGCTCCCTGCTCGGCGGGAGGCCTGCTTCTCCCCCTCCCACTCCCCCTGCTTGTGTTCCTGCTCTCGCTGTCTCTCTCTGTCAAATAAATAAAATCTTAAAAAAAAAAAATGAGATTCTCATGCTAAAAAGCATTGGGAATTAGTGCATTATAATTTTACCCTCTTTAGAACGCACGGTAAGTTTTGAGATCCCAACAGACTACCAGAATTCCTGTGGTCAAAGAAGTGGGGGACTTAGGCAGAGGCTTCTAAGGGGAAGAGAAGTACCTGTCCAGGTTTTCTCAAGGTGTGATGTGTATGAGGATAAGCTTCCAGAATTAGCCCCAAGCATTTAGTATAGAAAAACACGGGATTGAGTTTCCTAGAAGGACAGCCCAATTCTGTATTGGCTCTTTCCTGGGGATCAAAGTGAATGAGTAGGCATGTTTTAGAAAATAAATCTGCTAACTATTCATCATAATTCAGTAATTGATAATAAAAATAATAACAGTCACCATTTATTAATGGCCTCTTGTCTGTCAGGAGCTTATGTTTCTCCGTACCTCAACAACGTTGCATTTTACAGATTGAAGAGACTTCTAGAGATTTAATAACTCGCCCAAATGACAGAGTTGGGTTGCCACGCAGGCTTGTCCATGGCCAAAACACCTGCTTTGTGCGCACCACCGCGCCAGCCCTCCGCCTCACCGCAAGGTCACCTGAGAGGTCTCTAATCTCTCCCAACCTCTTCTGTCAGGGGCAGACTATTTGAAATTTATACCACTGGAGAGCAAGGGGTGTAGGCATCACTTGACAAAAAGATGAGGAAAATTGAGACACTGAGAGAATTTAAGTGACTTTCCCAAGATCACAAAGCCGTGGATAGGGCCAAGGTTTATCACAAACTCAAGCTCATACTTTCGGGAGGTTTTTTGGTTTGTTTTATTTCTTTTCTTTTTTATTTCTTTTTATTTTTTCAGCTTTATGGAGGTATAATTGACAAAACTGTAAGATATTTAAAGTGTACAAGGCAGGGGCGCCTGGGTGGCTCAGTTGGTTAAGCGACTGCCTTCGGCTCAGGTCGCGATCCCAGGGTGCTGGGATCGAGTCCCGCGTCGGGCTCCCTGCTTGGCGGGGAGCCTGCTTCTCCCTCTCCCACTCTCCCTGCTGGTGTTCCTGCTCTCGCTATCTCTCTGTGTCAAATAAATAAAATAAAATAAAAAATAAAGTGTACAAGGCAGTAATTTGATACACATATACATTGTAAAAGAATTCCTATAATCGAGTTAATTGACACATCCTCACCTCACATATTTACTTTTTTTGGTAAGAACATTTAAATTCTATTCTATTAACAGATTTTAATTATACAATACAGTGTAATCAACTATAGTCGCCATGTATACATTAAATCCTAAGAGCTTATTCATTTTATAACTGAAAGTCTGTACCCGTGTACCAATCTCTCCCCCTTCCCCCACTCCCCAGCCCCTGGCAACCACCATTCTATTCTGTTTCTATGAGTCTGACTTGCATTTCATTTTATGTCATTGTTTTATTTTGTCTTGATTTGTTTTGTTTTGTTTTGTTTTGTTTTAAGACTCCACACATAAAGGACACCATGCAGTATTTGTCTTTGGCTCATTTTACCTAGCGTAATGCCCTCCAGGTTCACCCATGGTGTTGCAAATGGCAGCA